ATGTACAACTAGGATATTTTACAGATAAAAACAAGCAATATGGCCGACAATGGCTATCTAGCAGCAACGAATAACAAGTCTATGTAATACCTACCCAAAAAATGCGAAAATACATGGCAGATACTAAACATGTACTTTCAAAGTTAAACTCGTCCCTAACCTATTTAGGATTTCAAGAGCAGTTGTAGGAGCCCTGGTTATTTATGCAAATGAAATTTGGATGGCATTCGTTCCTTTTAACAGCACGAGCTTCTCTGCATTTGTTACTATCTGAAAAAACAATATGCAAACTACATAAAGATTAAAATAAAACGACTGTCAATTCAAGAAAAATAAACGTCACAAGTTCAATACTCGTAATCTTATGACACAAATGTTAAAAAATACGAAAAAAAGAAACAGGATTTTCCGTCAAGAAATCACACATCAACGAGAACGAGAAACGATCGGCCATCTATTCATTCTAATAGGAAGATAAAACAAAAAATCAGTTAACTCCAAACCCTTATCATGAAGCATAATATTACATCTAAGGCTAAATGTTTGTACTTTGTTACAAAGAAATTCGCTACATTTCTGTTGGTAGTCAATACGAATTAAGTCACTGATTATTCGCATTTTGTTTGAAAAATGCATAGCATTTTTCTTACCATCCTCATTTTGTTAATTAACACATTTACGAAATCGTGGAGTTCTATCATTGACTGTCACGTATGTGGAATTTCGTTCTAATTGCAGCATTCGGAGCGCAATTATACCGGGAAAGGAATATATAGAAATTAGAGAAGACAAACGGAACCGAACTAAACAGCCCAGTAAATAGCCTAAAAATCCAACACTATGAAAGCGAGGAAAAGTTTTTTTTCTTAATTCAAAAATTGTTCAGATTTTTAATTTAAGAACTAAATTAAAATTATTTCTCACTCAAATTCTCACTTTGCGTCGACTGCTAAACGTATAACAGGCATCCCAAGCTCATGTCTCGAGAGAAAACAAACGATTTTTTCATGAACTAACGAAGTAAAGTTGACTTCCACTTCTAGCGGAAATAACAGTGAGAAAAGCGAGCTTAAAACGGCAGAGAACACGCAAAAACCACAACGGACACACAAGATTCTAGTAAATTCTACTGATTTTACGCGTAAAATGATATTTTGAAATATATGTATCGTTGTTAATCGACCATACTTCATTCCCCATATTATTCCTTTCGACGTGGTTAAATTCTGAACGTTCCCTCTCGTAACTTAACACTGAGTCACACAACGCGTGACGCTTTTTGTGAATCAATCACTTGCTTTTTCCTCCTAACGTGAGCTTGGGACGGTTGTGCGTAAAGATATTTGCACAATTGCTGAGGCGCATAGTGCCAGCTTGGGTTAATTGTACCTCCATCGCTTATTTCTTCTTCCTCTTCTTCTTCTTCTTCTTCTTCTTCTCCTTCTCTTCTTCTTCTTCTTCTTCTTCTTCTTCTTCTTCTTCTTCTTCTTCTTCTTCTTCTTCTCCTTCTTCTTCTTCTTCTTATTCTTCTTCTTCTTCTTCTTCTTCTTCTTCTTCTTCTCCTTCTTCTTCTTCTTCTTCTTCTTCTTCTTCTTCTCCTTCTTCTTCTTCTTCTTCTTCTTCTTCTTCTTCTTCTTCTTCTTCTTCTTCTTCTTCTTCTTCTTCTCCTTCTTCTTCTTCTTCTTCTTTCTTCTTCTCCTTCTTTTTCTTCTTCTTCCGCGTCTGTTCCCAGGTCGTCCTCAAAATTATTATTCACGTCTAATCCATATCGGAGTATCTTTTAAAATAACTGCAAGTTTCAGTTTGCTTTGAAGCCAACAAACAAAATGAGTTGGTTTCAAATTCGTGTTGTGGAGGTTCCTGACTGCATAGAAAAAATTCAAATAGCGTCCCTTTGTAAAAAATGATCCTTATGGTTGTTCGGTTGGCTGGTGAAGCTTATTTTCGTCGTGTGACAAGCATGTCACGTCGGCAAAGGATAAATTAACGCGCGCAAAATAATGCAAAGGTTTGATAGCGAAAATTTGTTTCCTTTTTTTTTTAATTGTTCTAGCTAGCCAAGAATAAACGCAACGACTTTGTTCTAGCTAGCGAAGAGTTAAGACCTTAACTTTTTCAGTATTAAATTCCTACAAAACAACATAGGTTATGTTTTGCACTTAATGGGGCAATTTTTTATGCATTAACACTCGGCACACTGCAGATAAGAGTAGTAAATGATAATGAAAATGGAAATGATAATTATTCAAACTACGTCCACCTTTGTTTCAACTTTTTGTTTCCTAACAGAGAGTAACTGCCCTAGGAAAAATATTTTCAACGATAGGACAACATCATATATTTTTTGAGATCCGGTTTGGAAGACTTAACACAAAAATTCGTCTTTTATATACTCAGCGAAACAGAAATTTCTCATCTTAAAATTTGTGCGTCAGTGGTGGCATCATCTGCATTTATAAGTTGAATATTGGTGCGAACTAATGAAAAAGTTAGTTGCTGAACGATAGTTATCTTTTAATATGATCAGGGATCAAATTTGGGTCAGAAAGTCTTCATTTTGCTGCAGCATTCTATCAGTTGTCTAGTTAGTTTCCAATAATAGTTAGTAATCAGCCTTTTCTTTAAACCTAAACTACTTTTCTTTTCCATTTTTGTTGTGCGTGTGACTTTAACGAATTACGCGGTTAAAATTCTCGTCTTAACTTTGAATTTATTTAGAACAACACTTAACAGCACTTGTAAAAACCATTACTTTTCTGTGTATTTATTTCCTGCTGCTTATGTGGATAAATGCCATCAGGCTCTTAAAGTGTAAAGGGACAATCAATATTCAGGTACTTAATGCAACAGCTTTGTAGCTTTCTCCTCTACCCATATAGTGGTCAATTATTTTATCCTTCTTGCGACAAAATAGTTGATTTAAAGACGGTGAGCAATTTTTTCTGTGTATCGCAAAATAACTTCATTTCCGGTACATATGTCGATTCTGTTGATGAATAGGTGCTTGTTTTGTACTCTAACAGAACAATTATTCTTCACTATTTATCTCTGGAACGTATGGTCTGTTATTCGATCCGTCTAGTTTCTTTAGGTTCTGTAAAATTACCGAAACATGAACGCTGCGATGAACTTTCTTAGTGATTTCACAACACAGGAAACATAGCACTTCTGTAAAACTGATCAAAATTTATTTTCTCTCTATGAACATTACTACAATGTTGTGTAAACTACTGACGAGAATCGAGAACAATCAACTTGTTAAAATGTCCAAATGCTTAGAGAAACACAACAAGATTTAGTGGTAAGATCTTCAGACTCCAGAATGGAAAAATCTGCATAGGAGTGTCCTCTTGTGAATTGTTGTTTGTCTTACGATGTAGTCACGTGTAATGAAGATCGCGACGTTTCGACTGCAGGTCGACTGGTCATGCGTGATCTTATAAAGCATGATGCTCCGCTGGGATTAGTTGTTTTTCAACAGCTCTGATTGGTGCATTTCGATCCTTTCCTTTTTCACTCAGTGATTTGCTCTCTCGGCGGTCCGCTGTCGCACGGCTCTCCTGTCGTTATGTTCTTTTATCGTGGGCATCCACGCTTATGGAATTTCTATTCCACTATCCCTGTTGATGTTGTTTGGGTGAGGTCTTATATAAATTGCCTCTTTGGCTCTGCACGTGTAGTAATAAGGGTCATGATCACTAAACTTTACTTCGAATTCGTTCCAGAGTGGCTTGTGTCCGGTGTTGTGGGCATACTCTGAAACGGCGGAGGTCTGGTACGGGCAAGTCGGATGTCTCAATCGTGCTCCTTAATTCTGTCTTATATAGGTCTTCCAGTCGCTCCGATGTATACCTTGCCGCATTCACAGGGAATCCTGTAAACGACGCCATCTTGTGTAGCCGGGTCGACAGCGTCCTTCGGTCGCACTGAGATCTTAGCGTAGTCTCCGACTTGAAAGTCGGAGACTACGCTAACACTACGCTACAAGCCACTCTGAAAAGAAGTAAAGTTTATGTATGAAATGCAACTTATTGGCTAAAAACTGATGCCTCCATTCTCACTTAGATAATGCTTCAAATAGAATTAGCTCGGTTGTATATCAAATTGTCCATTTTTGATACATCAGGATATGTGCACAGTCCATGACAGCAGTACTAAAAATAAACTGTTCAATTTTTTCCTTGTTTTACATTATATTTTCCTCTTGTGAATAACGCACAAAAATGTTGAAAAAAATTTATCAATGTGTAAGACGCATGAACGAATTGAAATTTTTCGGGCGTTAAACCTATCTAAAAGTTTAATGTAAAGTTGAATATCCTTTTTATGATTTGAGAATAAACCAAAATTTTTATCGCAATATTTAATGTTCTACGAAGTATGAACAGTAGTTATCAGACAAGACGACAAAGTTACTCCTTTCCTTTCACCAGGTCTTGACATACATTGCCATTTTTAGAGTAGGTGAATTTTAGCTGTGCATGACTGAACAATGGGTAAAGAGTCCATTGGTTCCTGGGTGGCTGTATTTATTAGTTTTGACGTAATTTTCTTCTCATGAGTCATAAGGCAACTAACACAATCTTCTTTTTATTATTCTAAATTACAAAGGGGAACGTTCTAGGACAAAAAAGGTGTTTTTTTCTCTCGACTGATTAATGCAGGTGATGAAAAGTACTGATGATAAGCAATGGCAAAACAATATCTTAATTTTCAGCAGAGTTAAACAATGACTATCTTTTTTTTAAATTCAACTTTCCAGCAAGTGCTAAGAAAGTCTTTGAGGTTTTTTCTGTTTCACTTCGAAGGATACGTTTGTTCTGTAGCCAATGGAGACAAATTCATTAAAACCTCAAGAGTTTACTCCAGAAACTTGTGTATAAAACATCGAGCTGCTTTGAAAAGATTTAATTTACTAACCTCTTTTGATGAAAAAATGAAAGAAAAAATTGAGACACATTAACTTTTCTTCTGCAGAAAACAAACTGAAACACGTCATGATGGTACCCTCAGTGGCTAAGTGGAGTTTCATCCTCCTTTTCGGTAAGCCCTTCAGTTGTTCAAAACTGTTGTCGAAAGTGTTTACTAAAATGATAAATATTGCATTTGTTGACATTTGGGAGGGAATGGGAGCCCATTGTGGGTAATGTGGGAGGGGACGAAGGGTAGGATGCTTAGGGAGGCCCGGGAAAGGGCGAGTAAAGGGAAGAAAAGAGGAGAGGAAGGGAGGAGAGTGCAAGGTTAAATGGCTGAATAGAGCGACGAGAAAAACCACGAAGTGGGCATGAGTGTCTGTTGGGAATTGTTTTGTCAGGCTTTCTTGAACTGCAATATGCGCCAGTGCTTAAATGTAATGTAATAATCATGTGGGTGAAAACTTCTCATGCCTGCGTGTAATATCAAACTGCTTCTAGGCATGCAACATGTGGTGTATGCTTGTTCGGTGGTAAGAGAAAGTGGTCCGAAACGTTTACCAAGTCCCACTTTGAACTCAAGACTGAACCTGTGAAAGACATTGCCACTGCATTTACCTTGTACAATCAAACTTCAAAGTAAAGTGCTAGAATAAGATGACGTCAATAAATTATTCCTCTAATTCATTAATAAACCACTTTCCTGTATCCTCTGAAACACTTTTCTCAATGAAACTACCTGCAAAGGTAAAGCGTTAGTAAGTTTTTGGTTGGAATGGAAGATTCAGTTTTGTAATAGCTAGCTGAAGCCCGTTGAACTCGAGCTCTAAATGAGAATTGTCTGCAGTCTTGCGATAGATGTTTTAAAGCTAAGTGATCTGATATCTGATTAGTGGAGTAGTGATACTTGTAAGACAGAGATCAGCTTAGATCTAAAATAGCGACCTTTGTTATGTAAAACTGCATACTTTTTGTTTCTCTTGGTATATGATATCTATAATTTTTTTTGGAAGCCAAGTAATTGACTTGTTGTATTTGTTGTAGTTTTATTGAAACATCCTCAACAAGCAAAAGGATGGAGGAGAGTTCCTACGTTTTCGTACACACGTGTTCTCTCAGCTCCAAAAGGACACTACGTGGAACTGAACTTTTCCATGCACAGCTACCCGTGGGCTTCACGACCATGTCTGCGGGACTACTATCTTGAGATCCGTGACGGCAATAATCAGTCAGCCAACGTTCTTGGTGTATTCTGTGGAGATCACAAGACTGCTGTAGTGCGATCCAGTAGACGATACTTGTGGTTACGATTTTTCCCTTCTCGCGAATATGATTTGAATGGATACTACATGGGCAGATCCTTTAATCAAACAAGTAAGGTATTTCTTGACAAGTTAAGCACTCTTAAGGCAATTGGTTAAAATCTTTAAATTCAACTGAACATCACGATAGAATAAACTCTATTCAGAAAATGTAACGTTTGCCCACATTACTTTTACGTTTTCTCGCACATGTAGCAGTGTTTATCCCTTTCCTTCCCGTGGTTAAGATTTTTCCCTTCTCGCAGTTATAGTTTTAATGCATACTACACGGGAAGATCCTTCAATCAAACAGGCACGATATTTATTGTTAACTTTCTGTTAAAGCACGTAGTTAAAATATTTAAATCGAATTGGAACTTCCTGATATAACAACTTATATTCAGGAAATATATCGTTGGCCTACCTTACCATTACGTTTTTTTGCACATGTAGCAGTATTTATTTCCTTATTAAGTAGCTTTTTATCTGATATACAAAGAGACAGACGAACAGCCACAGATAGAGAAAGAGACAGACAGACAAAGAGAGACACCGAAAGAAGTTCTCCGTGACTTTGGAGTAAAATATGATTGTCCATACACAATGTATTTGTTTTATATATTATGCCTGTGGTTTGCTTGTCCTGTATGATAAAGACTATTCATCTAGCATTTGCTTGCCTTAATACATTTTTTATTATCATTATCATTATCATTATTTTTTGTTTTATGTAGCAACACCTACCATGACCCAAGTACCCAAGACACAGACTGTAATTTTGAACAGAACCTCCAACCTGTGGTGCCCGGTGGAAGGTGCGCCAGCTCCATACATTGTATGGAGAAAAAATGGTGTTGTTGTTCAAAATAGTACCAGCGTAAGATATCAGCTTGTAGCTGCAGAGGAGAATGTGAATTACAGCTGTGAGGTACGAAGAGATAATAACGTATCAAGGAGCGAAATTAGCCTCAACATTGAAGGTGAGTTTTATTCCTTACACAAGTGTAATGGAACCATATCACTTTTTTAATTGGATGCCTGAATCTGTACTATTTGGTCAATTTCTTAATATCTTGTTTAATTTCTTGGTATCCCTCCACGGCTCGCCGCCCTCGATGTAGTCGCTCCCGTAATTTGCCCCGTTCTTCTAGACCGCGATAGATTATCAATATGTTAAACAGTTCTTCGTTCAGATTAAGCTTTCTTTGATCAGCTATATCAGAATGACAATCTTTGTTTGGAATGAGGCAAATGTGGCCGAGTGGTTACGGTGCAAAGCTTGTAATCCAGTGGTCTGGGTTCAAGCTATCCACCCTGCTACTCACCGGATTTGTTTTTTGGTTTGCCGCGCTTTGTAAACTGCCAAATGGTTCGCCTCCGACCAGTAAGGATTTTTGCACGATGTTTATTTACAATGTTTGTTTCAATTAATTTGTTGTGATTAGTTTTTGTAATTTTAGTTTCCAATTTGTTTTAATTAGTTTTTCTTGATTAATTCTGTCATACCGTTTGTGAGGAGCATTTTATTATATCCACTTTTTTAATTCACGCAATAGAAACATTCATCTTATCTCACGTATGGAACGCGAGACCTATTTTTTAAAAGTTATTCTAATTATTTAGCGCTGTTCAGCCTCTCAGAAAGAACATCTCCCACTGCTACAGTTTGATCAGAATTTTTTTTTGTTTTACCTTAAATTTTGAATTCTCTAAATGCCAATATTGACAAGATTGTTATATCGAATAAGGAGGAAAGAAGAACCAAGTAGAAGCAAAGGACATTTTCATAGTCACACGCCTATCTATTTTCCTATGCGATTGACTCGGTATGGTTTTAAGAGTATGTTAGTAATTAGTTCAAAGTCGATACTACGTAGTTGCAAAATGTCGCAAATTTAAATTTATCTCTTGCATTCTTTTGTAAACTATCATTCTAAAGCTGCTTTTTTTTTTTTTGCTCAATACCATAGAATAGGTTGGTTTTCCCTTTGCAATGCAAACTCAGTGATAGCAGATTAAACTTTTTTGTTTAGCGATTAAACTATTTGAACAATACTTTATGTCTAATATTCAGATTGCCCAGGCCCTTGTGAGTGCCACTTTTTGAAGGGAACATACGGTCTGTTGCGTGTGAACTGTAAAGGAAAAGAATTGATGTCATTTCCATGGAAAATTCCCTTAACCACAGCAAAGTTGTGAGTATATATGAGAGATCAAATGCTAAGGTGCCATGTAAGTTGCAGATTAAACTGCGGATCACGAAGCAAATGAATGCCATTCTTCATCTTAACAGAGTAAGAGGGACTTCTTAATCAATCTTACACCAGCCATTGCGTGGTACCGTCGATGTCAATGACCGGAAATTCTTCAATATTGAATTTTTTGAACGAAGGTTTGCTACGGGGTTCATTCCTGACCCGAACTACTATCTCCCGAGTCTCTCAAGCCATGTTGAAAGAAAATCTGTACCTTGTAAACTCAAAGCTTTAACCTCGTGGCTACACTAAAAAATATCATAACTGTGGTATATCATACAATGCCGGTCCATGTCAGCAGGGTCACAAAACAAGAACAAAGCTAAACAAAAAGGCAGTACTTCGTGACTTCGTGAAGGCAAAGTGGAATCGTAAAACGAACATATTCTGTAGAATGTGAACAATAACGGCGTAGTAGGCTTTTATGCTCGAAATACCTGGTACTTTATGCATAGGAAGCCGTTACAAACTGAAATATCAAGCAAATCATGAGAACTTCAAAAACGTAGATATACACTAATATATTTTAACTGTTTTAGTAATATTCAGCTCTATCTCTTGTGTTATATCACTGCTCAAATATAGCCGTAAAAGTCAAACATAACTGTGAAAAAGTAGGTCTGACGGTATTAATACCATCTCACTGGCTGGAACAATAGTGCAACTTATCCATTTTTGGTGTACAACGGACGACTTTGAGTAAAACTGTTTGGTGCGTAAATCTGGAAGAGTTTACTACTAAGTACCGCTTTTTGTAAATTGTTGTTTTGTTATTATTAACACTGAAATATGTAACAAAGCCTTTGAGGCATTTTCAAGTTACTGCGTTCTGCACTATGTCGTTCACCGTCAAGTTATTTCGAAAAAGAAATGATTAAAGATCATTGGTTCATAAACTGTGAAATCATACACGTATTTAGCTGGAAAAGTTGTCCATTTGACCACAGCTGAATCGTACTCCCATTTTTTCATCCTCATTAATTTGATAGCTTGATCTACGTAATACGTAAAAAAAAAAATGGGCACATGAAGTGGAAAATTTGTGCGAAGGTGGAACAGACTTCGGAAAGAGATAAAAGCGGTTTATAATCTCTGGATAAAGGTATCTGTCATGAGTTTTGAAAACCGTATGTATTTAACACAGTTGTATCAATTTTTTTTTCTAACAGGGACTTGAGTAACAACCAGCTTAAGGACTTGTCACAGGACATTTTCAGCAACAATACTCACCTGGTTCAGCTGTAAGCTAAGATTAAACAAATCTATATTGTGTGCATGTCAATTTAAAAGGGCAGTGATATCCTAACAGGGACTGACAATGATATATTGATGATAAATAACAGTATTCGTCATTAGCCGCTTTGAAAACCATGCGTATTCAACACAGAAACAACTCTCACCTGGGGTAGCTGTAAGCTAAGATTCGTTACCTCATTCCATTGACTAATTAACAGCTTCATAAATTCGCATTTCAAACTGCGCCTATTTAACACATATGTAGCAATATCTTAATTCGGACTTGGGTTACAACCGACGAAGAGACTGGCCACAGAAAGTTTGCAGGAGCAATAACCAACTTTGACTGTTAACTAAGACACTTTTCCTTAATCTCCTGGGTGAGGTTGTTCAAAACTGGGTTAAGATAACCCATGATTAGTTAGAAACTGATTTCAGATCTGAAAGCTTCAAAACAGAAGTCAATCGAATTCTTTTTGTCAAGAATGTGATGATTGGATGCTCTACAAGCGATATAGAAAATTATCCCAAAAAGGCTTTTGAATAAAGGAATAAAGAAACCCGGATTAAAATGTAACCTTAGGTTGCGCTAATGGGGCTTCAAACAACTGGGTCCTGATGAATAAAAGCATATTTCATCAGCATTATTACCCGTTCATGTTAAACACGGTTGGAACAATTTCTTGATGTGTACTTGAGTAAACAACCAGCTGCATAGCTTTCCGTTAGACATACTTTCGGCTCAGTGAACTGGAGGCCGGGGTGTAAAAAAGTAAGAGATTGTAAAATCTTAAAAGTAGTCAGTTTTTTCAAAGAATGACGAATTTCTAAACCCTTAAGTTGATTGATGTTGGTATTAACATCACAATACGATTTCTGATTTATCGATGTATTCCTTCCAAACTGGCGTAAAAACAGGAGTCTAATTACTAGAAGGCATCGAAATGGTTGCAGATGTCAAAGAAAAGCTAGATATATGGCGATACAGCAGGACTTGCTCTAAAGTTTTTATTATCTTTTTCCTTTATAATCTTTTAAGTATATTATATCATGCAACGATTTTATATTGTGTTGATATTTACTCCGTAGATAGGGATAATTTTTCGATACTCTGCAGCGCGAAAGCCAGATAGTTGTCTTTAAGTTTATCGGAATATATTCGATCCATAGAAATTCTACCGAAGACTTGTAGACACTTAATAAGCGCGGGATTTCCACTACTTTTTTCTTTCCACGGGTTGCTGAGTGTCATTCTTGGTCTAGTATGTTCGATTAGCGGCTGGTCTTTGGGGAGAGATTTGACTCGCGTCCAGGCCTACCGTGTTGTAACTGTCTCCGGGTTTCACAAGAAAATCTTACCGCGGGTTCGCAGGACTTTGAAAAGGCTGGTCATTTAAAATTCTCTCTGGAGAGTTACAGAGGAGAGCCTAAACACCCGTAAGAAGCTTCTGTCTCATAGAGAGCTTGGGCCACGTGTACCTGAATTTCACTCGGCGAGTGTAGTCGTCAATTGTAATCTGCATCACAGTTTTCGTTCTTACATAATTGATAGCTTTTTTACCAGATTGACTATCCTTGCCAGTTTTTCTCGGAGAAAAAAAAAAGAAAGGAAGCTTAAATGCGTATTTTCTACATTACATTATCAATGAAAAGCACAGTGTAAAGAAGGAAATGCTGGGATCGTTTTCCTTCACACCATCTCTTTTTTTTTGTCTAGTCTCTTTACTAAGTCAGCAACACTGGTTAATTTCACAATTCACAAGTCTTTCGGTGATAAGTATCCATAAGAACAGAGAAATGCCGCAAGATGCATCTTTAAAAGAAAGCAATTTCCTGAAAAACTAGACAATAACGTGACGTTGCAAAGCATATATGTGCACCGTGCATCAATTCAACGCAGAGTCAGGTCGAACGAAGAGAGCTGAAATCTATATTTTACTCGTTGCTCTATTTGGTAATAAGTGTCAGAAAGATCATGGAGGAGTAATATTTTTAACGAATCAATCTTTCCTGAATATTTCATGTAGCTAAGAGGAACATGAAGCCTTAGTTACAACATTAGTTTTCGAAATTCTCAATAAAGCCGTCTTGAGATATAAATATCGTTCGCTTTAACCATCAGAATCAAGCAACAAAGGTATTTCCAGATCGAACTGCTGTTGCGTTGATATAGATGTTACGACCATTTAATGTCGAGGGGAACTTTTCATCGAGCACACCACGCCCGGCGAAAGGCATCAAGAATCTAACACTATCTTTTTCACTCTTGTTTCTTTAATGACTCGGTTCTCCAGTAGACGATATAGTACACAAATATTATTTTAGTTAATTTATTCCTGCAACGATTACAATGCTTTCGAGTGCAAATCCCGAACGGTATTTATTTGTCGAGACAACTCTATTGATGGAATGGAAAAATAATGCCGAAACAAATTATAAGTCTTCTTGTCTTAAAACGGTGAGTATAGCAAAAAAAACCTGAAGAAATTCGGAGTTTGAGAAGTTAATCAGAGCGCTCCTTCAGCGTTTTCCATTGCGTCAGTAAATACCTTTTACGAATTATGAAAACTATTGAATTTAACTACTGCTGATCATATTTCTAATAAAGTAGACATAGGGATACAGACAACATAAGACTTGTGAAGAAACCTCATTTTTTGAAAAACTATAATCCATGCGGGAATATAACTAAAATAGAACACGATACATCCAGACATTTTTAACAAAAATACCTCGCTATCGGACCTGTGAGTTTATACCCTGCTATATTTATTCAAAAGGTGCCCTAAATCCAAATCTACCGAACATATAAGTAATGTTTTAAGCATCGCTTTATTGACACTAACGTCTGTTTGCAGGCATTTTGTGTGTTTCCTGACCATCCTTAAATTAGTGCAACATACTAAACACCGCCTTTAAATGATTTCTTATCAGGTGGTTGGACAACAATCAGTTGAAGGGATTACCACAAGACATTTTTAGCAAAAACACCTTGCTGTCGGACTTGTAAGTTTATACCCTGCTTTATTTATGCAAAAGACGCCTTAAATCCAAATCAACCGAACAAAAGTAATGTTTTATCTTCAAATGACCGAGATGTCGTCTTTCCTCTAAAGCTGATGCACAGTACCCTCGTTCCTACCTCTCCCTATGTGCCACTCCTCGTCTCATGAAATGTTAATTTTTCTTCGTAAAATGAGCAGCCCTAGCAGTAGATCTTTTTAGCTGTGTGATCACGTAGTTTGTAATGAGTAAACAAGGATTCGAAATGGCTGCTCAAGTATGTACAGCAGACGACATTTTATGGACGAAATTCCTTCTTCTCTTGCCGAAATTATTATATTCACGAAGAAATAACCACTCCAATGACTGCGCTAATATAGAAATGGGCGACAATTGACGTGAAGTCCTTTTTAAAACAAAAGTTGAGATTATTAAAAACAAACTAACGAGCATACGATCTTTAAAGTTTAAAAAAATGCATGAGGCCTACACAAAAAAAGGCAAATATATTACACAAAGTAGATTTCGCGGATTTTGTGACTTAAGCTTAGAATGAACCAATATTTTGCCGATAATTGTAAAGTTGGTTTTGTTTCACGTAAATGTATTCTATAATCTGATTACCTGACCGGCAACCGATCAAAGTTCTCAAACCACTGAATGACTGGAATTGGAAATTTCTCTAATAATTTAACAAATTGAGAGAGCCTACACAATCCAAATTATCATATGTCGATGAGGAACTGCAAAGTGATCCCGAAGTGATTCACAAATCTCATGTCTAGCGTTCGGTGATGCTTAACGCTGGTCTCAGAGTATGGAGCCATGGATGTTAACACATAAAATTGAGGTCGACTGCCGGTCACGGTTCCCAAATAACTAAATGACTTGCAGTTGGAAATTTACCGAAAATTTAAGGAAACCGAGACAGCCTATACATCCCAAACTATTATAAGCTGATGAGAAGCTTCTGAGCGATCTCGAAGATATTTATAAATCTCATTTCTTATTTCTTTGTTCGGTTTCCGCTGACTCAGATGCATGCACGTACTCCGTGATACTATGCGGGATGTTTTGTATGCGTTTTAATAGCAAAAAAAGGAAAAAAAAAAGAAAAGAAAAGAATACAAATTACATCGAAACAGACTAGTAGGGGTATCAATTGTTCGAGTTTAAGTCTGTCCTCTTTAAAAATCCTTCATAGCTACGAACTATTCAGCGAGGTGGAGGTAGCTCGCGGTAGATATTTACCAAGCTTCAAAACGGCGAATTAAATATCCACCACTAGCCACCGATACTGATGTGAGTAGTTCTTTTGGTGTATACTAAAACAGTGAGATAAAACAGCAAAAATTGCTTTTCCTAACTTATTTATACCTGCAACTATTATAATACTTTCGGGTGCAAAGGTTACATAACCTTAGATATAGATATATAAAAAAAGTTGTTTGAATCAAATCGCTTAAAAAAAATAGCATACAATGAACGTGAAAGAAGCATCACACAAACTTCCTCTTTATTCCGTTGTGAAAGATCCATGTCCGGATATAATGTAATATTAATCACCTGTATATTTTAGGCCCTTATATCAGAGTATGAGAAAAGAAGTAACAAGTTTTTTTCGAGCCTCTTATTCTCTGAACTTTGTTGTCGTATACCTTACAATTAAAAATATTTCAACTTATTTTTGATAGGCAGTTGAACAACAACCAGCTGAGGAATTTACCATCGGGAGTTTTCAGTAACAATACCAAGCTGGAAAATCTGTAAGTTTGGAGTCTTTCTTAATATTGGTGTAAGGGGAACGCATGGAATCCAACCTGGAAAGTAGGCATTTTGATGCGTGGGTGCTGTCGCATCTTATGGGTTACATCCTAATAAAGCGGCATTAACACTTGGACTTAGAAATGTCCTTTGAGACAAGCATTGGTTTCGGAAAATTCGTTCCGTGATCGATATCCACAAAGAAAAAGAAATTGTAAACAGGGGCTTGAGTAACAACTAGCTGAACGACTTGTCACGAGACATTTTCAGCAACAATACTCACCTGGCTTGGCTGTAAGCTAAGATTAACAAATTATGTTGTGTGCATTTCAATTTAAAAGGGCAGTGATTTCCTAACAGGGACTGACAATGATATGTCGATAATAAATATTAGTATTCGTCATTAGCCGTTTTGAAAACCAAGGGTATTTAACAGAGTAGCAACTCTCACTTGGGGTGGCTGTAAGCTAAATTCGTTTCCTCTTTCCATTGATTAATTAACAGCTTCATAAATTCGCATTTCAAACTGCGCCTATTCAACACATATGTAGCAACATCTTAATTAGGGCTTGGGTTATAACCGACGAAGAGACTGGCCACAGAAAGTTTGCAGGAGCAATAACCAACTTTGACTGTTAACTAAGACCCTTTTCCTTAATCTACTGGGCGAGGTTGTTCAAAGCAGGGTTAAGATAACCCATGATTAGTTTGAAACTGATTTCAGATCTGAAAGCTTTAAAAAAAAATTCAATCGAATTCTTTTTGTCAAGAATGTGATGACTGGATACTCTAAAAGCGATATAGAAAATTATCCCAAAAAGGCTTTAGAATGAAGGAATAAAGAAATCCGGATTAAAATGTAACCATAGGTTAGCGCTAATGGGGCTTCAAACAACTAGGTCCTGATGAATAAAAGCATATCTTATCAGCATTATAACCCGTTCATGTTGAACATGGTTGGAAAAATTTCTTGTTTCTTGAGCAAACAACCAGCTGCATAGCTTTCCGTTAGACATACTTTCGGCTCAGTGAAATGGAGGCCGGGATGTACTTTACAATCTCCTACTCTTTTGAAAAGAGTAGGAGATTGTAAAATCTTAAAAATAGTCAATTTTTTCCAAAGAATGACGAATTTCTAAACATTTAAGTTGATTGATGTTGGTATTAACAACACAATACGATTTCTGATTTATCGATGTATTCCTTCCAAACTGGTGTAAAAACAGGAGTCTAACTTCTAGAAGGTTGCAGATGTCAAAGAAAAGCTAGATATATGGCGATAAAGCAGGGCTTGCTCTAAAGTTTTAATTTCTATTTTTTTTCCTTTTATAATCTTATAAGTACATTACATCCTGCAACGATTTGTGTGTTGCTATTTACTCCGTAGAGGAATTTTAGTGTTCAGTTGTTTTCAATGCTTTGAATAAAAAACCCTCAAAGTCATTTTGTTCTACAGTATAGCTCGTTTTCTTATCACAGACTTAAAAAAAGCATCGCTTTATTGACGCTAACAGTCTGTTTGCGAGCATTTTATGTGTTTCCTGACCTTCCTTAATTGGTGTAACCTACTAAATACCGCCTTTAAATGATTTTTTGTTAGGCGGTTGGACAACAATCAGTTGAAGGGATTACCATCAGACATTTTTAGCAAAAACACCTTGTTATCGGACTTGTAAGTTTATTCTCTTCTTTATCTATTTAAAAGACGCTTTAAATCCAAATCTGCTGAACAGACAAATAATGCTTCATCTCTAAATGACCGATATGTCCTCTTTCCTCTAATGCTGATGCACAGTACCCTTAGATCCACCTCTCCCTTATTTTGACCTCTACTCTATGTGCTACTTCTCGTCTCCCTAAATGATAATTTTTCTTCATAAAATGACCAGCCCTAGAAATAAACCTTTTTAGCTGTGTGGTCACGTAGTTAGAAATGGGTAAACAAGGATTCGAAATGGGTGCTCAAGTATGTACCGCAGACGACATTTTATAAACGAAATTCTTTCTTCTCTCGCCGAAATTTCCATATTCACGAACAAATCAGCTCTCCATTCACCGCGATAATATACAAATGGGGGACTATTGAAGTGGAGTCTTTTGAAAACAATAATTTGGATTGATAAAACAAACTTACGAGCACACGATCTTGAAAGCTTACTTGAAAAAACATATGAAGCCGGTACAAAAGGGAGGCAAATATCTTACAAAAAGGAGGTTCGGGGATTTTGTGACTTAAGCTTAGAATGAAACCATATTCTGTCCATAACTGTAAAGTTAGTTTTGTTTGACGTAAATATATTCGTACACTTTTGTTACCTAATCGACAGCCGATCAAAGTTCTCAAACTACTGAGTGAACGGAAGTTTGAAATTTCTCTAAAAATTCAACAAATTGAGAGAGCCTACACAATCCAAACCATCATATGTCGACGAGGAACCGCAAAGTGATACCAAAGTGATTTATAAATCTCATGTCTAGCGTTCGATGATCCTTAACGCTGGTCTCAGAATACAGAGCCATGGACGTTGACACAAAATTGAGGTCGACTGCCGGTCACGGTTCCCAAATAACTACATGACTTGCAGTTGGAAATTTACCGAAAATTTAAGGAAACTGAGAAAGCCCATACATTCCGTACTATTAAATGTTGATTAGAAGCTTCTGCGCTCTCTCGAAGACATTTGTAAATCTCATTTCTAGCATTCGGTTTCTCTGACTCAGAATGCACGCACTAAGAAATTCAGTGATACTGCGCGAGATGTTTTGTATGCGTTTTAATCGCAAAAAGAGAAAAAAAGAAAAAAAAAGAAAATGGAAGAAAAGGAATAAAAATAACATCGGTTGTGAATATATGGAAGTCATATATTTGAACTGCGGTTAAAGACGTGAATATGAAAGCGATCTTCGCAGTAATGAACACTACTTAAGTTCAGGGTTTATTTGGAACCAACACAGTGACCAGCTCCCCCTTGGCTTGTTAGCTGAGTTGATAGAGCACTGCACCGGTATCGCAGAGGTCATGGGTTCAAATCCCGTACAGGCCTTCTTTTCACTACTACTTAAGTAGTGTTTATTACTGCGAAGATCGCTTTCATATTCAAAAATTACATCGAAACAGATTGGTCGGGGTACCAATTGTTCTAGTTTAAGTCTTTCCTCTTTAGAAATTCTTCATAGCCTACAGCTATTCAGCAAAGTGGAGGTAACTAGCGGCACCCAGAAATTTGTTAGCAATCATAAAATAGAAATCCTGATAGTGATTTGTAATAGGAAACAACACCAGGCATTGGGAGAACGCTTTTCTCCCTGTTGATATCCATTATTTTCCGGCGCTTAAATTAAGGTTGTTTCCGTTGTGTCCTTTTTCCAAGCCTTTTGGGTGTAAAATATTTTTCAAATTTGTTAGGGGTGGCAGGAATATTTAGTGGATGAGGAGTGTGTACAGCATTGAATCAAAGAAATTGTGTCTTTCTCGAGAGATTTTGAGGTTACAAATGTAAAGAATGTAAAGAAAGTTTTATGTGGTAATATAAAATGGAATATGAAAGTAGCCTCATACAAAAACCTTTAACAAAAACTTTTCTCTGAATTCCGTGGTGAACGATTTTGCATTGGCGATTTTCCCCAACAAATTGAACTTGACTACTTAAACAAGCCTTTCACGTGAAACGTGAAGAAAGGAAGCAAATGCCTTGGATAAAATCCAACGCAAATCCACGACCGGAAGGCACAAAAATGAAAATATAGAATATATAGTCTTGAGCGTGGCAAGGGATCGTGGTTTCCCAACTTTCAATGATTTGCGGAGCTAAAACATGTTCAATTTTTCCCTTGGTTTTAGCCTTACCCTACCACCGAAACGTACTCGTAGTATATACGAAACCATTGAGATAATATAGCACAAAGAGGTGATTTTAATGGCTATTACCCTGCAACGGCTAAAAGCGCAAATCTCGTGTGCGTTGCTCCGGGATAGCTAAGCATCGCTTTGCCGTCGTATATAAACCACTTCGGATGTTGAGAGAACGCGAAAACAATTTATAAACAATAACGTGTTAGTGAAGAATTCTTCATGATAGTCTGTACGGAAAGCTTTTAAAGTTAGCAAGCATAGAAAGCAGCTTTAATTACTTGCGGAAGTGTTTTTATTTTGAAAAGTAAATTCAGTTGTAGGATTTTAACTGGTGGAGTTTATTTCCATTGTGAGGATTTAACTTTTAATTATTTAATAACATTACTAGACCACATCACGTCTGAAAGCGAAGAAATCGAAAGACAACAACATCGAGCCGTGTTTCGTGTGTACTGATTCAAGCGTCGTCCAACTATTTTGTTTACTCGCGGTACACTATTTTCCTGTAACAAAATTTGCTTAAGTTGTCTCAGCTTGAATTAAAATTGCCATGGAGTCGTTGTTAAAATTTACAAAAGTGTTTGGAATGCCTAAACTTGGCAAAAAAACTATCAGGTGGAAGTTTAAATCGTGGACAGCAAACGGAATTGCCAAAAATTTTGAGTGCACATCTACTTTCAAATCAATTATGCGATTCTGAGACTGATCAATGGAGCTTTAAAGTCATTTGACCCGACTCGCTTTGTGTGCTGAGGAATTTTGCCTGCTACAGTTCGCGAGACACTGACAAATTTGAACACAGTTAATGTCACTTCATTCATGACCAATTGTGTAACCAAACTCGATAGGTATCCAATTTGATGATAACCAAGCTGTTTTATTAGCCTGAGAATAAACTTACATTTTCTCGCTCATGAAAGTATCTTTAACGCCTCGGTGGAAGTTAAATAGGAACTTGTCTTAAAACTCGATGATAAAAGGTTATGAACAATATCTTAATAAAGCTGCATTAACACCTGGACTAGAAAAAAATTTCTTTGAAACGTCTATTGGCTTAGGAAAATACGTTCGTTAAATAGATTATCAAAGAAAAATGTGTAAGGAGATTTAGTAAAGGAATCATTGTAGTATTGAATGTTCACCTTCGATTTCC